GTTGCCACACAAAGTGACGGAATATAGGGATTTGGTAGGTTTCCATTCTAAAGGCTTTTTAATAAATATGGCAACATTTTGTGACGTTTCATCATTGCTGACGTGTAGTGAAGTGTTTTGAGTCATGTGAAGGCAACAGAACTTATGTAACGCATACATTTTTTTTTATAGTTTTTCATTTCTCGATGCGTCCTTAATGTGTCGGAATATACCGCGTTTACCCTATATTACGTATATAGGGTAAATATATACTAGATGTTGTAGGCACTCTGAGCAGAAGAGTGTATTACAGGCCTCTGGCTATTCTTTATTGTTGACCAAACCTGAGATGAAGAAACTTGTACTTATTAATTCTTAATTTAATCTGGAGTATATATAAATATATATAATATATATACACTGCAACTTTATCATTTCATATAGAAATTTATTTATATATAGGTTAATGGCAGTATATAGCAGACTATATTTGAAATGTGTAGAGAAACTTCATGAATGGTCTGACCATAATTTGTTTTTAAATTAAGTCTCTTGGGTATCAAAATAAAAGTATATCAAGGCTAAATTTCAGTTGTATTTATATTGATTCTCTTTAATCTTATGTTGAATTGCAGATTGCTCCAGATCGAATTAGAAAAGGGGCCGGCAGAGAGCATAGCACCAACTATGACAATGTTGGCATGGACATCAGTGAGGTGAGAAATTTTGAGAAGTTATGAGTCCTTAGTGTGTGTCCTCTGCTTCTTCATGTATACTTTTGAAGTCTACATCTGAACAGGTTCTGGCTGTATGTTTCTGCTTCCACCTTAACATTTGTATTTTCTGTGTTGACTTTTGAACTCGGGAGGCTGTGCATCAAATAGTGGGAAGGAAAAGTTTTTGTGATTGGAATTCCACATCCAAAATGTTGAAAAATTAGAATATTTAGCTCTCTTTTGTTCATAGTGGTGAATTGTTGGAATCAGGATTTTTCCAAAAAGCAAAAAACAAATTTACCTTCAGGAAATTCCTCCAAATTTTGGAGGTTTGGTGTGCAAAAATTGGCATCTAAAAAAAAGTACCTACCTAGTTTCCATGTTATTCATTGGTATAATCTTTTTGTGTAAACTGAATCAAACTGCACCAAAATTTATGATGCATTTCTGTAAATGTGTACCTAATCAAATACTCCATTTTTTTATTGCAATCCAATTTTCAGTAGGTACCTACTTATGATATTGCAAAATGACTAATGAAATGTAATTTCTTACAAGCACTAGATTTTTGATGCTCAGATGACTCTTTGGCTTCCTTCATTTGCAGCCCTTATAAATTATGATTCAAATTGTCAATTCTTACTCTCTAATTAGATATTTATCAATATCTTTTTAAAAACTGAATTTTTTGCAGTGATATTCTGCTCAAAGATACCATGTATAGCTCATAATTACTTTTCCATTTGAATTTTTCTTCCTCTTGGGCGCTAACTGATATATATTTATTATAGGTCATCCATTCAAATCTTTATCAGCTGCAATGCAGTTATTTTATGAGGACTCACCTGGGACTGAGTGAATTTCTTTGAAATTTTGTAATTGATTATTTTTACACACCCCTCTGCTTCAAAATTTTGTTATTGTTGAACTTACTTTTAATTTTTGAATATGGTTCTATAAGTTCAGCGATTTCTCTGGAGGTGCTATGGTAAGCTCTCAACAAACATGATGTTTGTGATGTCTTGGTATGGGATGGAGCAATTTTTTTAAACTGCTGAAATTTATATGTATGATGAATGAATAGATTCATCTTCTATTGGGTTTGTCCTATGAAGGGTTCGAATTATGCCAAGGCTGGGAATGTCTAGTTTGTAAAATTTGATGAGTTTGAAGTAAGTTACAACATTAGAAACTGTGGTCAGCCCTCCCTGTGTTTGATATTAACGCCTTCTGTTGATATTATTACTATACTCAAGTGGGTGAGGAGCACGTCACATTCGCTACCCTCGCTATGGATCAAAGCTTCCTACACAAACTTCATTAGTGAGAGCTATTTGGGTGCAGGTGAGTTAAGTGAGTATCCTTGCCTTAGTATACTTCTTCATGTTCATTGGCAGAGATGTCTGCATCTTATATATAGTGAGCATTTTAGTCACACCTATTCACATTCAATAGGCTAACTCATCAGCCATTTATTGATTAAAAAACAAAAGAGCAAAATAATGTTTATTGGAATGAGCATCCTTTGCTGACATCTTGATCCTGAACTCCTATGGATGGTTTCACCATCCATCTCAGGTAGTGTATAAGTGAATCTTCTCCAAACTAATCTTGTCATCTTTTATCAAAGACCATTTGATGAATTTCAGTGCAAGCAATCCCATTTACTTGTCACTTATTCTTTAAGGTTGTGTTTGAACCAATTGTAGTTAGCAAAATTTCCTGTGTATTTTTATGCTAGAAACTTGTTTCCGCTCCCCTAAGAATATACTAATCAAGTTTGTGGCGCTGATGCAGCATTGTTCATCAGGAGTCTGGTGGTGAGGAGGATGGCTCGCCATGCACCCACTCATCCGCTGCTGCCAATGGAGACTCAGCACAACGCCGAGCCAGAGTTCGAGACTCCAGGGACACCAGCCAGTCTGGAGGAAGGTGCCCCGACAGTGACCAGGGATATAAGCCCTTGCTGCTACGCCCCGAGATGCAGGAAGACACACAGGCTGGGTCACTAATGGGGCAAAAATCTCTCTGTAAGGAAGACACATTATCACACACAGCCAAAGAGGACGACAAACAGTATTCTAGGTTCGTTTCTTTTTTTCCAAAATTGGATATTATCCCGGTATTCACATTTGTTTAGCAGCATAGATAGTGCAAAAAAATGTATACTCACTTTAATCACTTCATAAAATGACTAATTTTTGAAATAATTTATGCCTCTTTGTTTGAGATACAGATACAGAGAATTTCTCAATTCTATGTTCAATTAGTTTAAACCCTGCAATCTTAGAGCATTTGATGATCAGCATTTCAGGAACTTGATATCTTTTCTAACTGGATTCATGGTTATGGTATGTGTGTTCAAACACAGTTTCATACAGTTAGTGAACTTCACTCCAATAATTGGGTCTTGAAATAATGTTCAAAAGTGCATTTTTTTAGAAACAATTGCTCAAGCGGCTCTGGTTATGTGTGATTGTGCATGAAATGATGAAGCAAGATTTGATGACCATCATTTTGCGCTTGGCGACATAATACTACTGAGAACCATTGAGAGCCTTTAACTTTATTTATTTAAAAAAATTAGCATTTAAAACTTTTCTAACATTGTTTTTGATGAGGAAACCTTCTCAATGCTAATGTCATTGAGCTAGACTTTTCTTACTCAACGGGCGACCAATGTTTGTGTTCATCTAGTCTACAGGAGCGGCTGCTGGGTCTGGCATCTGGCAAGCTTCCCGACCAAAGTTCCCGTGATGGGCCTACTAAGTGAGAATAGCCTGATTTTGCTTTTTCAAACCTAAGGAATAATTAACTGTGTTCATGTCCACTGTTATTGAAGAAATATTTACTATTTCATATCCGGATCATGCGAAACATTTTGAAACATTAAATACCTTCCATACTTTCGATTGGAGTTTTCTCTGTATTCATCTTTTTTCTGTTACTCCTACCAAAGTCGTCTTATTTAATGAGATGGATTTTAATGTTATGTTCATTACATGTTTACAAATATTTACCCTGTTCTTAGATTTTTTACCACAATGCTCTTAAGGGTAAGCGCTAATAACATTAATAAAGGCGAATTTAAATTTCAGGAGCGGCGGTGGTCGACGCACAGACGAAAAACGGAGATCTCGATCGCCTCGAGATCGACACAACAAATCTCACCGATCTCGCTCTCCCGGACATCGGCGTAGATCACGATCACGAGATAAAGATACCAAGACTCGCGAGAAAAGATCTAGGTCTCAAGAGAAAAGATCTAAATCTCGAGAGCGACGTTCAAGATCCAAAGACAGGAGATCCAGGTCACGATCACGAGACCGACGAGACCGAAGGAGAAGGAGTCGCAGCCGAGACAGACGCCGCGACTACAAAAAAGGTTCAGCATTTATTTTTTTTCAGAATGTCAGGTGATAAGTGGTGGTAGTATTGATAAAGTCCAGCATATTCTTCAACATGACGAGCACTGAGAGAAATTATTCCTATTGTATTTCTATTTGTTGTGCAGATTTTAGTGCATTGTTTGTCAAGCTTTTCAGAATATAGACAGCTTCGTCTCACAAATTACATGTTAGCTGTTAACATGTAGCATTAGTTTCATTTATTTTCAAAGTGATATTAGGTAGCAAATAAAATTTAGTGCATGCTATTATTTCGTATTGAGCAGTGATCATATTCGTGAATTAAAACGTGTACTTATAATTATTTGTGAGAAAAACAGTGTTTCGTTTACAACCTGAAAGCATTCTCATGTACTACTGTACTAGGGAAACGCGTGCGTACAGATTTTTGGAACCACCGTTCCTGTGGGTGCTGGTCTTGAGGTTTGGCTGTTTTCACATTAACAAGGAAATATTTACTTTGTTATTGTTTATATCATTTCATGTTCAATTATCTTATACTGATATGCGCACATGTTTTTGGCGCGATTTCGTCTCGATATCCTTTGATGTTGAATTTTTACCCAGCCCCATTCCTCATTCATTTTGTTGTGTTGCAGACACCGCAAGTAATGCCGGCCTGCTGCCGCTGCCTGCCGCTGCCACAGGCGCCGCCCTCCATCTCACTACGCTCCCCACCCCCGCCCTGCCCGCATATTACAACCCAGGCTCCATCAGCGCCGCTAAATATGCTGAGCAGGAGAGGAAGAAAAAGCTTCTCTGGGGCAACAAGGTCTTTAGTTTTGCATTTGTTGTCAATAATAAATGCTTGATTAACTCCATTCCAGTTGTAACCCGATGTCTCTTGCGTTACACCTTATCATTGGTGCTACATGTTATTTCTCATGCAATACATTAGCTCTGGCGCAATACATACCCCTGGTGTAGCACATCAACCCGAGAGGAGCACTTTACCCCGTAATGCAACACATTATCGCTGGTATAACTTATTATCTCTGGTGTAACTCATTATACCTGGTGTAACACATTATCCCTGGTGTAACTCATTTTCCTTGGTGTAACACATTATTCCTGCTGTAGCACATTATCTCTGCTATAACACGTAATCCCTATTGTAACACATTAACCTTGGGGTAACGCGTTTCTCCTGGTATAACGCGTTTATCTTGTGTAACAACAGTTTGGTCCTTACTATACCTCATGGAAATTGAACCACACAGAGAGCAAATTGTTGAGAAAAGTTGGGCTGAGGCGACGACTTGCCTTTGATCTGCTTTCATTTCATGAATTGATAATTTTATCCGATTTGATTGCGATGAAGTCTTTAACTTCTAAATGAATTTTGTTCTTATTCCGCCGTATGATGTTGTGAATGTTTGAGTTTTCCTAACTAATAAAGTGATAGCCTGAAGTGACTTTATATAAGATTATCATAGAACCTGAAATTATTTCCAGACGATCTGTCTGGAAACGGTGTTATGATTTCTATGTTTAAAGATATTTACCTGTTTATGAGCTTTTATCTTTTGATTGTGGATTTTGGTAATAATATTTTTGATCCATGCGACTACGTCGCTCTAAACAAAATTTTTGCCAGTTATTTTTCTCCTTGACAAATTATGCATTTTGAAAAGATGAATCGAATTCATTATTTCGATATGTCTATGCATTTACTATTCAAGATCTCAACTAAGTGAAAAATATACAATAAATTAGGTGTACATAAGAGTAACGGTATTTAAAATTATTATCGTTCCTAAAGAACAATGCACATTTCAGTAGCGTCTATTGAAATTTCTTTTGATTAACCACCCATGAAAACTGCTGCTTTAACAGGATTTATTAGCACAAAATAACGCTACCATTTACGTGTTCAGAGCGCGGCTACAGTGGCAGAAGGAAGCACTGGTTTGGCGGGGGCTGCGCCTGGTACGGCTGCAGGACGCGGGCTTCTCGTTAACAACCACGCAGCGCTGCTCAACTTAGCTCGTGCTAACCCTGGCGGTCGACAACTCAATCTCGGCCTCGGCAAAGACCAGTTTAATGTGGGGTCGTCTAAACCCACCCCTCTGTGAGTGCTAGCATAGATTAAATCTCGTATTAGTTTATGTAACTTGTATCGGAAGAACTTCTCTTCGTACTTGTTATTCTATCTTTGTCTGCAATATTATTTTTTGCTTCTATTTTGTGCATTACTTGTTACTTTTTAGGAATAATCGTAATATTTGTTTATAATTTTCCTCCAGCAATATTGTTACTTGCGATGTTACTCGGGTAAATAATATGTCGATTTGAACTGAACAGCAACGCTGCTTCTGCTGCTGTTGCTGCAGCGTGCTCTGCTGAAGCCACTGCAGGAACGAGAGGTGGCGGTGGTGGAATGTCAGATCTCTGGTCATCCACTACCTTCAATAATGACTCCGATGGAAAGATGGCTGAGAAATTCAAGCGGCTCATGGGCGTTAAAGATACGGCTGCCACGTCGAGTAAGCATCAATGACTTGTTCAAGCATTCTATCTACATAACTTAAAATCGAACTATAACTAGTTATGTAGTCAAGGGAATCAAATTAGGCTTTGGTCTACAAAATAGACTTCTCTTAAACCATGAAAACTTTTAACCAAATTCTCTGTCTCATAACCATCAAGAAAAGTTTACGATTAGAATCTTCAAATCTCTATACCTGGTAATTTTTTAAATATATTTTTATTATATTGTCATTGAAACAAGTGCATTATTTACGATAACATGTTTTTTATTAGTGTGTCTGTTGCTTGTGTTGTAATGTTGTTTAAAGATTTGATATCATTATTGATTTCAGCGCTGAATGTATTCTTACATATCTGCAGACAAGAGCGGTGGTAGCAGTGCAGGTTCTAAGCTGAACGAGGTGCAGGAAGACATGTTCAGCAACATGGAGCGACAGTACGAGGTGGCCAGGCTCGCTACTCACACACACAAGGGCTACGGTCTGGGCTTCACCAGCACTGCTTATGTGCCCAAATAAGCGGCATTTGACACACAGTCATGTTTATAGGCACCTCCAAATTTATTCGGTTTAATTTCTCTACTGGCATTAGGTACGGTGCGATTCACCAACTCTCTCGACCTGTCGAAATATTTGCCCCTCAATTTAATTTGACAAGAACTTCTTCATCTTTCCGAGGTTTTCGCAAGCTTAAATTTCTTTTAGACGCTAATCTATTCAAAATAGAACGCCATCTGTGTAATTTCAGTGTCTGTTGATTTGAAAAAAGTTTTCAAACCGAGGCCTGCTTTTAGCACCAGGCTCTTGATAAATTCAGGAATTTTTGTATCACAAAATGACCTGCGATTTTTACTTCGAATCTGTAAAGCAGAAAGGAAATTGTGGTTTGAATAAATGATTTATCGTTAAATAGTTAAGATTTTTTCGCTTTAATTGTAGCTCAATGATTAGTTTATTACTTAACTGTGCCGTTTGTCGTATCAGTTGTTCAGGTGGGTGCTATTATTTGTAGCCAGAAATTGCTTCAACTTCAGTGTTCAATGTTTTTTAGAAATCTCTACGATTTTCCTTCCTCTAGACGTCAGTTATATTTGAATATAATATCCATTGAACTTATGACTTACAGTTGAAGCAACCTGCAACCCAACCTTTTTGTGTTGTTCATTCATTGCTTATGACAAATTGTTAGCTGAGCTTCGTGTTTTCTGGGTGATGTAGCCGCGCTAGTGATGCCGAATCGAGTATCTTCGAGTCGTTGAAAGCTGCATGGAATTATGACGCTTTAGTACGATGATCTCGATTGCTATGTATGCATTAGGAGCTTAGGTCATTCCTGACTGAGCTTCCGTCTGACGATGACAAAAATTATTTTCGCGTCTTTGAATTTCTTAGGAATTAGTTTCGGTAATAAGTGATGTATGGATATGTAGTACTGCAAAGACGTATTCTTGTCATAGTATCCTCCATGTATCGAAAAATTATTCACAGCCTTATTCAAGCCTATCTATAATATTCGTATCTTGGAATAGGAAAGCAGTTTTTTTTTGTATCCGTCAGGTCACTGATCTGAGATCTCTAGATATCGCCGACTGCAGAATTTTGTAGTGTAAATCAATTATATAATAATGGATTTAAAAGCTTCATATGAGAGTAGAACACTCTTTCCTAAGCTTGTGTTTATACATGTACAGACCAGTAGAAGAAACCAGTTTCCTGAACACACGAGTCCAGCTATTACGTTACGACAGTAGTTTGATGCACCCAGTGAGAATTGGTTGTTTCAACGCTTACTTGAATTGTTATCTACTAATTCTCGACATGTTATTACATGTATTCAGATTCAAAACATATTATGTAATTTCCCTTTCAATTTGGTCGTTATGTTTCAAGAGTATGCTTAGAGTCGAATGAAAGCGGTTGAAAACATTATTTCTTTCCGGCAAACGTTCGACATCCTCAAATGCTCTTAAGCGTTCGTCCTGAGTCGGTCGATTCCGATTGTTATTAGACGAATACCCCAGAATCTGTGGATGGAGACACAGTCCTTTCTTAATCACGATTTAATTATTCAAGGTATTACTGCCGTCGACAACTCATCCCTCTGAGCCTAAACTTCATTGTTGTTTTGGTAACTACACCTCACGCCGGGATTTCGGCATTACGAAGGAATTTGTTATGCGCACTGGCTCGTCAGCGTTTCACCTGAATCGCTACGGTCTCTTATCTACTGTCGTGATTTCATTTTCAACCAGAGCAACTCCGCTGCGGATGTGTCCCACACGTCAAATTTGCTCCCGTATGATAGCAGCCTATTTCAGGTATGTCCGGCGCGCTCCTGAACCGAAATTTATTCCGCGTCAAATGTTTAGCTGGGTGATTTAAACCTATTGGGTTCCTTATTTTATGAGAGTGTTGTCATACACGTGTAGTGTTGTCACATGAGAGTGTCTCATTCACACTATGAGAGTGTTGTCATACATGAGAGTGCCACAAAGCTAGCCTAAATTCACCCTTTATTCAACGCCCAGCCTCTGAATGCTTAGCTACTGGTAATTACACTCGGGAGCTGCGGAAACGGTGCAGTGATGAGGGCCAACTCAGTCATTCATCTAATTCTAGTTGATAAATGAGTACGTGACTTGTCCAGGGTGTTGTGTAATGCAATAAAATGGTTATGGCGGGTCAGCGAATAAGTGATGGTGACTCCCGGCGTGAGACGGCATCACTGGCTAAATAGACTTGTTAACCTCTTAACCTATACTGACTGCATTGCAATGCTCCAGCAAAGAAACACAATAATATGTCCTCTATTCTATTGAAAAATTTTCAAGCATGAACCGGTACGTTCAAGATCGAAGTTGATAGGAAACTAAATTGAGGCCTAGAATAATCCCGCTGCAAATTAAGATTGATAACATATACATTATTTTAAGGTATGTTTGGCGATATGAAAATTCCTACTCCCTATTTTATACCCTACATACTCTTAGTACTTGAGATGCTCGTTGACACCTTGTAATCTGGGTTCAACCGAAGTTTTATCGCGAAAAAATTCTTGATTTACGTAAAAGTGACCAACCCATCTTCTGGGTTAGCCCATATATGCAAAACTATTCATTTTAATTCAGAATTTCTTCTCTCTTATTAGCATTACATAATGAGTTAGTATTTATTTCGATTTTAGCCCCTTTAATGTCGAGCAATGCATACGGTCGTCCTCAAATGTGATATTAAAAAAAAAAAATTGGGCAGTATCAGTGTAGACCGATGAGCGACGCTGTGATCAGAACTGGAGAATTGTTTTAATCAGTATTTTTATACTACGTTTTAATGTCATGGAATTGTTTTGCAGCGTAGCGTCAGAGATATTTTTCACGCAGTCTGAAAGACTTGAAACTTTCTTCCGAGGAAGAACCAAATCCATACCGGCGATGTCATATTTTCGTCGTTACGTTCTCCCTTAAGCAAAATGTTTTTGCGAGTTTTCTTTCGGATTGTTGTATCATGAATTGCATAATAAGGCATACATTTTAGGATCTCTTCTAAGTGCAACAGCTTTAGAATTTTTGGATTTATTACTGAAATTCTGAATGAATCAGAATCTACATGAAAGAAATTTTCATTGCAAAAAATTAAAACACATCATACATTTTAAAAGTATTAATGAGGAGAAAACTTTATGCAAAATTTAATATTAGGTATTTCTAAAATACCAATTGACTTTTATTATAAAATACCAGTGGCATTTATTTGTTTTAGTGAAGTTATTTACAAACAATAATAATTATTTTTATTGAACCTCACACTAGAAGTGCATTTCGTGTTGAATGCATAACCAATTCATCGCTGTCATCTTGATGTCTTTTCGAAAATGAACTATGAGAATTTATTAGATTTTCCATCGTGCCGCGTAACACTCATGTCGAGCGAGCGACTGCATCAGCGCTACATTTCAGCGTCTGCTCGACTCCATTAGTCATGGCGCAGAGCATATCGCTCTCGCGGTCTCGTCACGTCCAACAAAAACCTTCAGCACGCTTGCCCTTCCCGCCGCAACGCGGTGGTCTTTTGCACCCCGACGATGGCGAAACGTCTTTCTTCCGCAAGCTTATTCTCAGGAATAACGATCCGCATTGTGCATTTAGTTAACTACGTGCTTCACACTCGGGTGTTTCAGCCTTATCTGAGATTTAACTGTTATCATGGTCGAGATTTTTGTTTTGTAGCTGAGCCTTACGAGTGAGCTTACTCGGCGCAACGATGAGTAGACGCCTAGACGTGAGCCTCGTCGTTTATCTTGACGGTAGCTCTTCCTTGATCATGTCAAGAGACTACTCAATTATCTGAGTCTTCGCTTCAATGGTTGTAAAGAATCTTTAACAATTTTTTTGCAATTTACTGCTCTATTTGCCTTCAATTTGGCATATTTTTGGGTTTGGCAAATTCAATTTATATTCATATTTCAATTTTTGGGTTTGGTAAAAAAAATTTTTTTTGGCATATGACATTGACTTAAAAAATCATTCTCAAAGTTAAAAGGTGCTAACGTATGTTTTACATAATATCACTTTGATAATTTCTTCTTCTAAACTAAGTTAAAATCTTCCAGAAAGTAAAAATAATTGTAGTACCATGTTCGTTGTCTTTAACGTCAGGCTACATAAAACTTCATTGACAAGACACCTCCAAGCCACACATCAGAAACATTAGCGATAGAAGAGAGGGATGCCGTAGGGAACGCCACGGCCCCTCCTAGACCTTACCTGACCTTAATCCCGCCTTGATCCCAAGCAATTAAAAGACTCTTGGGGATGACAAAAATTTAATTAAGTAAAATGTGAGGCCGCTGAATTTTAATTAGCATTGTGATTTCGCTGTTCCGGGCAAAGATGTTGAAAAATCCAAGTTTAAATTGCTCCGTAGATGGGGAAAGTTTTTGCTTCGCAAAAAATGGGGTTCCTTGCTGGAGACAATTGTGTTTAAAGGAGCCGTGCTAATGAGAATTTCTCGTCGTGTATGGAAATTCAAAGAAGTAGTTATTGTTGGCTGCCATACGTGTACATGAAGATAGTTAGTTTTAGCGTTCACTGCCTATCACGTTACATGGTTTGTAGTGGCTCAAAGTCTATTTGATGAAATCATGTAACGAAGTACTTCGTTACAAGATTCGATGAAATTATGATCGAATCATGATTCGAACTTCGATGAAATCGAAGTTTCATCGAAGATGAAATCATGTACTTTCTAAGTTCGAAGAAAGTACACATGTTGATTAAGACCTAACGGTGATCTTTAGCTCGTGGAAAAATTCTTAATTTCGCCTTTATTCGTGAGTTATATGGCGATACGTGCCGAAATTCGCAGTGAACAATACATTTCTTACAGAGTACTGAACAGATGAAATCTTGAATTTACATTCCTTACTATCCAACGGTGATGTTTAGCTTGTGAAATTTCTTAGATTTTGCCTTCGTTCACGATTTTTTTTTTCATTTTCCCCTCGCTTGTGATTTAAACAGCAATACGTGCTTAAATTCGCAGTGAACATGAAATTTATTATAAAATACTGAACAGAAATATATAAGAATACCTACGGTGATGTTTAGCTCGTGAAAATTTTTTTTCGATTTGTCTTCGTTCGCGAGTTATACGGATATACTGAGAAACGACCGGCATTTCTCAAGTCGACTTTTAAACTTGCATTCACCGCTTGAAGATGATAGTTGCAAGCACCACTTTTCACACAGCTTGCGAATGTTATTTGTAACACAGAATTCAAACCCGCATGATGCTACAGTATTTACTGTTATTCTCATGCCTGCGTTACATGTGAACCTTTTACTTGTGTGTGAACGTTCGTGTTCACGTTGGTTACTTAGAAAAGGCTTACATATGCTCACAACGTCGCCATTCTGTGCATCTTTTATATGACAGCACGTGGTAAGAAATTTCCGCCTCAGTAGAGAATCAGTCATGAATTGAACACCCTTTAAAATTCAATCCAAAATAGTTTATCATAACATTGAGATTTGTATGAAGCTTAGACAGGAAAGCTAAGTTTCTAATGCTTTTTTGGATTTATGTCCACAGTTATAATTTGCAACCCATAGATTATGGTCTTAAATCAACTTGAAAATGTGTGATATCAAGAAACTCGACTTGTGTCTCTTCAGTTCATTCATTACTTTGTTGATGTTGGCTGAATATAAAGTAGAAGAAATTTTTTTTAAATATGAGTATTTTGCTTATTGGGCAGGATGTAGCTGCCTAAATTAGTACCACGAGATAGTAAATTTACATTGAATTACACCACGTTACATCACAGGCGGAACTTGAGAATAATCCTAGGACCTAGAATGTTCATTTTCGCGTGAAGCAGCCTCGTATTAACATATAACATATAACATAACATATACCTAACCTAACAATTTATTGTGTGTTCATTTCTCCCAACCAAATTCGTCCTGCCGATCACTATTTTTCTGTGTTCTGTCTGTCCCTTGGTAAATAATTCAAGTTAACTAGCTAGGCCATTCAATTTCCTGACTGGAGTTATTAACTTAATGTGGAGTGGTAAATAAAACCCCCACATACAAATAAAACCCCCATAAAAACCCCACATAAAACACCCCCACACATATAAAACCCCATATTTCAACCCCACAACCCCCACACGGCGTTGAAGAAATAGGCCATGGGCCTATTTCTTCAACGCCGACAATCTATTCAATTCTATTCTATAACATATTGATCTCGTAAAAAAGTCACTAGATTGCTTTAATCGCAGATTCACTAGAAATTTAAAAGCGAAGAAAACACCACAAAAATTTAGCATATCTCTTTTGA